TCAAATGTTTACAGCAGCACAATTCACAATCACAAAGATGTGGAAACAAACCCAAGTGCCTATGAATACATGAGTGGATTAACAAAATGTGGTATATATATACCACGGAGTACTACTCAGCCATAAAAAAAGTGATAGGCTGGGCGTGGTGGCTCACGCCTGTAATCCTAGCACTCTGGGAGGCTGAGGAGGGAGGATCGCACAAGGTCAGGAGGTCAAAACCAGCCTGAGCAACAGTGAGACCCCGTCTCTACTAAAAATAGAAGAAATTAATATATTGGCCAACTAAAAATATATAGAAAAAATTAGCCGGACATGGTGGCGCATGCCTGTAGTCCCAGCTACTCGGGAGGTTGAGACAGGAGGATCGCTTGAGCCCAGGAGTTTGAGGTTGCTGTGAGCTAGGCTGACGCCACAGCACTCTAGCCCAGGCAACAGAGTGAGACTCTGTCTCAAAAAAAAAAGACAAACTATTTATTGTATTATACTGGATGGAGCTGGAGCTGGAGCCCATTCTTCTAAGTGAAGTATACACAAATGGAAAAACAAACACCACATGTACTCACCATTAAATTGGTACTAATTGATCAACACTAATGTGCACATATGGGAATTAACATTCATAGGGTGTCGGGCAGGGGAGGAAGGAGGGAATGGGTAAATCCACACTTAACAGATGCTGTGTGTGCTGTCTGGGGGATGGGCACGCTTGTTGGGCAGTGCAAAGGCAATGTATGTAAGCAAAGTGTTTGTATCACCATAATACTCTGAAATTTAAAAAAAAAAAAAAACTTGGTACAGTAGTAAAACACTTCAGACTAGTCATAAACTTTGCCCCCCCGGGGTTAAAGCTTTAGGAATTTTTGCCACAGGAACACCGCAGGTGTAACACAGATTGAGGCAGACCATTGAGAAAGGTGCCAGGAATCCTGGGACCACACTGTATTGTCTCTTTTGATATTTACTTTTGAGGTTCTTTAAATTATTATCTGTGTCTGTGTATACTATTTCAGGGGCAGAGGATGGGCTGTTTTGAGAATCTGGTGGAAATTATAGCACCTTTCTTTAAAATGGTATACATTTACACACACACACAGTATTTAGAAACAGTTTCACGATGCCCAGGTTAATTGTCCACCTGTGAGTTACCATGAGTTTAGAAACTTTTTCTATACCATAATTTAGTCTTTTATCATGTATATTTTTATTTACCTTTCATGTGTACATGTTTTATCCCAATGAGCAAGCAACCTTCCTTCAAAGAACCTTGCCCCAGTGATGTGTGTATGTAAGGACCTTGGCTTGTGGGAAATATTTGCCAGTTGAGTCCTTCAAGGCTGCTGTGGTTTACTGAGGACAGGCAGCCTTCCTTTCAACACTCCATCCTCCTCCCCACCACTTTCCAACACAAAGGAGAGCACTATAAGGGTACTTGGACCCAAGAGTCATGTTCTGTTTACTTTCTAGGTATTAGGTTGACACATTATTTACATATTCCTCCTGCAAATACCCACTCTTGTATATTTAGAGAACAAGGCAGTGCCTAGTGGAAAGCTTTATACAAAAAAAAATTTTTTTAAATCATCAAGATGTAGTAATAAAAGAATGCATTCTATTATCTCAAAAATTTGTAATGTCTTTATTCCTTCCTCAGCTGTGTACCTTGCCCCATACACACCCACACGTGTACTCAGGACCCCCTTTTGTCCTATCCCATGAGTTACTTTGAAAACTGTACTCCTTTCCTTGTGTGTGCTCGTGGAAAAATGAAAGCAGGAATAAACCTAATGTTAATAGAATGGTGGCCATGTGGCTTTTCCTTTTTTTCTGATCCTACCCTCCCTCCTATAAATCTCAAAGGGCCACCTTCAATCTTAACTTTGGAATTTGGAAGGGCTTAACCTCCTCCAGCCTCCTCTTCGTGACTTCATAGGTGATTACGGCCACCTGGTGGCCATATGGGGAAATGACGGATTGCCCCTCCAAAAATCTGGTGACAATCTCTATGGAGTAATTTTTTGTCTTGGATCTGAGAAGCAAGGAGAAAGAAACCTATGGATAGAGGCTACAGCATAGGAACCAGACATCCTATTTCTTGGTACTGCCTTGCCTTTCAGGACACAACGTCCCACCCACTAGTTATTATAGACAAGTTCACTAAACATATAAGTTCATTCAATCGAAATTTATTGAGTCATGGGCAATATATGTAACCTTAACACTTGTACCCCCATAATATGCTAAAATAAAAAAAAAATTATTGAGCAACAACTGTGTGCCCTGCAGTAGGAATACAGCAGTAGACAAAACGGACAAGATCTCTGCCCTCATGAGCTTATGGTCTAGCAGTCAGCCAGGCAATTAAATCCATAATTTCACAATTGTAATAAGAACTCTGAAATATGCTTGGTGCTAAGAGAAGATTTAACAGTCTTAACCTATACTCAGAAATCATAGACGGCCTCCCTGAGGAAGAAATATTTCAATGAGCTAGGTGGAAAGTGGAAGGAAGAGTGCTGTAAGCAGAGAGAGCCTGTAAAGGCTCTGAGGCAAGAAGACATTTAATTAATTGAAAGCCAGCCAGTGTGCCTGAGGCATGGGGAACTAGGAGGAGTGTTGCTGGAGATATGCAAGGTAGGCAGGGCCTGGTTTATACAAGGTCTTTGAATTTAGGACTTTATTCCAAAAGCAACTGTGAGCCACTGAAGAGTCTGAGGCAGGAGAGTTAGATGTTTCAGTTTGTTTTCAGAGATCACTCTGACTTAAGCATATGGAGGGCAGGAGTGGAAATATGAAGACAGGTCAGGAAGTTTCCATAGCAATCTAAACAAGAAGTGATGGTGACTTGGAGAAAAGAAGATGGGTTCTAGACATATTTAGGAGAAAATCTACTTGATAGTGACTGGGTGTGTGAAGGAACATGTTTCTGACAAGAGGTATTGAAGTAGGAGACTCCTCAATAGGAATAGGGACAGGTTTGGGCAGAATGAGCACATCCCATAGGCACAGGTCCTGAGGCTGTGGCTAGAGGAAGAGTCTAGCATAGCTTTGGTTCACCAATAGTTTAGGGTGTAATTGAGCAAACAAGATACACATAAAATAATTGTAGAGTTGATTAAAGATCAGAATGATTGATTCAGATAATAATGAACTCCTACATTCCAGGGGACTAGATGTAAGCCCTTAGTCTCACAGTGAATTCAGATACTGTTGAAGCCAGTAGGCGTGTCCTCACCTTTGTTCGTGCCTCTTATAGTCAGCCCCTCAGAAAACTCCTATGTAGCCCACCTGCTGTTTCACAGGGGCCACTTTTCCCTACATTGAGCCCTGGTGCCCCCTGCCATGAAGATGCACTAAACTCTCCCTGAATCTTTTTTGCTTGCTGCTGCCAGGAAGTTCACCTGTTATTCTCAATTCCCCTCCCCTCCTTAGGTTAAAGGGGACCAAGTCTAGCCATTACCCCCATGGTTGCTCTCTGTTGGACACCACAAGAGTTTCCTGACTTATTTAGCTCTTCTCTTTATATTATTCCCTGTCAAGCCCCCTCTTTTGGAGTCACCATCTTGCAGAGTCAATTCTATCTTCCTCAGCTTCCCTAATGGCAAGACCCAATGTGAAATAGTGTTTCCTTTTTGCTCCTGTACCAAATTCACAGGCCATCTCCCCACTCTAGTTTTTCCTGGAGTCAGTAAATATCCAACTCTTTGCCTCAAAAAAGTCAGAAGAGAAATTTTACCATGGGATTAATAAGGTAGTAGCCTCAATAGCTACTGCTTAGATGACACTTAGCCTTCCCTGCCTTGCCTTTGCCACTGGAGAACTCTGCTAACTCTCTTCCAAAGACAGTAACTGCTGACTACACAGCAGACCTACAGTTCCCATTGTGCAAGGAGTCTAGAACAAACCCACATCCCAAATACTTGGTCTGAGAGCAGTAGTTACAAATATTAACACGAGATTAGACATTGGCATAGTCCCTCTATATTGAAAAGTACATAGATTGTGGAATTGGGCAGACTTGGATTTGTATCCTGCTTCTGGTGATTACTAACTGATGTGCCTTTGTGCTATTAAACTTTTCTAAGTTTCAAAGAACTTATCTGTAAAGTAATGGTAATGATATTCATCTTATGGGGTAGTTGTCTTAGGGTATGTATATAAAGCATCTAGCATAACATCTGCCCTGAATTATCTGACAACCATTCATTTACTTTCTTTCCCTTGGGTTTCAGCTGCCAAACACTCTTGTAGAAGATAAGCCAGATTTATTTATTTACTCATTTATTTTTTTTTTTTTGAGACAGAGTCTCACTCTGTCACTTGGGCTAGAGTACCATGGCATCAGCCTAGCTCACAGCAACCTCAAACTTCTGGGCTCAATCGATCCTGCTGCTTCAGCCTCCCTAGTAGCTGGGACTACAGGCATGCACCACCATGCTTGGCTAATTTTTCTGTTTTTAGTAGAGACGGGGTCTCACTCTTGCTCAGGCTGGTCTCAAACTCCTGACCTCAAGTGATCCTCTTGCCTCAGCCTCCTAAGAGTACTAGGATTACAGGCCTTGTAAGCCACCACGCTTGATCCCATAAGCCAGTTTTATGTGGTCAATGATAGACATCTACTATTCCTCTCTTTGTAAATCCCCTCTTCCTGCAGCCATCCCATTTCCATCATTGCCAAAAAAGTTCTTCAACCCATCATCCCTGTAGGATTTTTCTTTCTCTTACTATCAAACGGCTCTGCCTGAGCTCTGACTATCTTCTTCTATATCTCCCTAATCCAAGATACTTCATCTTGTATCAATCCTAAAAATTAATTCATTTCTAGCATTCTTCCTAAGTTTCTCAGAGCAAATTGTAGTGGAGCTGGGGAATAGGACCTTTATACATCAGAAGAGCATGGGAACCACAGGCAAATTCACAGAGGGGAATGAAGGTCTAGGTCCAGATACCCCCTACCCCCACCTCTTTTCCTCAGGGCACAGAAAAAGCCATACTCAAAATATGCTTTAAATATATATGAGCATACATCTCCTTTCCTATAGTTCTGTGAGGTCATCATTGAAATACAGCAGTATTGCAGGTGTGTGGAGTGCACCATCCATATTGAGAAAGTCAAATTCTTCCTCCTCATCCCGGATCCCATTCTCTTCTAGGGTATGATCCATGTTCAGGTTCTTCCCTTCATATTTCCATGTGTAGCTGGCAGCATGTGCGTTATAGGGGAGATACCGGTGTAGGATTTCCCACATTGACTCCAGGGTCCCCACCTGTAGAACACAGAAGGACCCCACCCACAGAATTCTGGATGAAGTGTGTGTACACACACACACACACACACACACACACACACAGAGCAAAGGCCAGTAGCCCACAATATGATAGAGCCAAGATCAGAGCACCTACTTTGGCAGATAGCAACTGCAGGCACTTTACGGTCCCAGAAATAAAGTTGAAGCTTCAGCATGCAATTAATGGGCTCCAAAGTCCTACCTATCTTAATGGCAGCCACTTCTAACAAACAGGTCAACTGCTCCCTTGTTATATCCCTGCGATAGAGTACAGTAATAAGAGAACCCCACTGCTATCCAAAAGAACTTCCAAGGACCACTATGGCTAAGATGCATGAACTGCTGCCGTGGGCTTATAAAAGAATCTCTTATACCCCTACGTCCCAGACACTCCTAGAATTCACAACCCTGAGGACCTAGGTGGTCTGCTTTGCCTCAATATAAGGGACAGAAAATACAGCTTCCACCGGTTAATGGCAAAATTGATAGCCTGGAGGTTAGCTGGGATTCCCAGTTACCCGTAACCTACCCTCAGGCACTGGTTCTTACCTCCAGTTTGTGCTCCTGTGACGTGAGCGTATTAATGATGCGGATGGTCCGGGTCTTGGCCGACAGCCGCCCCACCTCGTAATACCCCTGCCACCAGGGCTTCCCGAAATCATTGGCCCAGTCCGAACGGGGCAGCTGAGGCGGAACGTGCACAAAGCGGCCCCGCGGGGTGCAGTACCTCAGACAGCCAGTCAGCGGATCTATGTGCTTACGGATCTTTAAAGCAGGGTTTGGGGAATAGGGGTCGGAGCAGTTACTATTTCAGGCTCTGGCTAGCCCCCGCTTTTGCTCCCCATCCCTGCTCTCCAGTGCCTCTACCCACAACCCCAGGTTCCAGCAGAACTCACATCTTTGGTCTTAGGATCAAACCAGTGGCTGATGTCCTGACCTGCAACTTCCACGATAGGTTTCAGCAGCACATTCCCTGGGGAGGAGCAGCCACCGTCAGTGCCGATGCCGACCACTCAAGAACCAGGCACCTCCCACATACACACTCCAGCCCTGGCCCAACGTGTGGTCCTTACCCTTATATTCCTCTGCCAGTGGCGTTAGGTCGTACACGTGTCCCAGGTAAGACACCCAGAGGTCTTCGGGTTGGTTATGTTGGGCAACCTCTGCCGGCGTGAAATAGCGACGCTGGAAATACTCAAACTCTGGCCCAGCCACTAGACCCCGGCGCAGCATGGCTCTTGCTCTGTCAGTCACCAGCTCCCTTAGTAGCTTCCTCGCTCCTCTGCATACACTCACTACTACCTCCGCCCTCTCTTGCAGCAGCTAAGGGGAGCGCGTTTACCCGCTGACATGGAAACCATTGTCTTTTTCCGGCCACCGGCCACTGAAATTAAACACTATGCGGGTGAGGAGGGGCTAGGGCTGCGCGTGCTCTTGGGAAACGTAGTCTGATTCGGCATCTGGCACATAAGTATCAAGTAACTGAGTTACATCCTCAGAAGTTCGGGGCGGGGAACGAACACGCTCCGTTTTAATTCAGTGGCCTGGGATACATAGGATATATCTCCCGAGGCAGAAAAACAAGGTGAGGGGATCATCACGAAAGAAGGTATTCTTGCTAAATCCCAGAGTTTCTAAATAATGTGTAAGAAACTATAGAGGCAAAGTTCTCGCGATATCATAAGACATCCGGCGTAAAAAACTTTACTGAGCCACAGTTCTGGAGAAGTAGGAAAAGCTCGCGAGATCTCACCAGGCGGGGGAGGAGATGTGATCTCGCGAAAGGAAATAGGTCGGGAGCGATCGCGAGATCTCAGACCACCGGACCTGAAAGGTGCTTTGGAAGTTCAAGGGCCCAGAGGAGGCCCAAAGGCAAATGGCCGGAGCTGGGCCCACCATGCTGCTACGAGAGGAGAATGGCTGTTGCAGTCGGCGTCAAAGCAGCTCCAGCGCCGGGGTTAGCGGGGGTTCAGGTTCTGGGATTGAGGGCCAGTCGGGCAGCAAAATGGGGGGACGGGCGGAGGGGAACTGCAGCTCCCAGCAGCCTCTGGGCTTTGTGTTAGCGCCCCGCGGACTGCCGGGAGCTGTGGTTCCGCGGGTGGGCGGGCAGCCGGGGCTGCGTGGTCTGAGCGCGTGTCCCACCCCGCGCAGGACTCGGATGGGGAACGTGAGGACTCGCCGGCTGCGCGCGCCCGGCAGCAGCTAGAAGCTCTGCTCAACAAGACTATGCGCATTCGCATGACAGATGGACGGACACTAGTCGGCTGCTTCCTCTGCACTGACCGCGACTGCAATGTCATCCTGGGCTCCGCGCAGGAGTTCCTCAAGCCATCGGGTCAGTGCCCGGGGAATGCACAGCCGCCTGGGAATGCGGCGGAATCTCACGCGAGGCATTTCCCCTTCGGGGCCCGACTGCACCCCTGCTTTTCTGGGGTTCATTTTCGTGGCTCAGAAGGGGCGGGATTGATACTGGTCTACCTCCCTGATGCTCTGACCCTTCTTTCCAGATTCCTTCTCTGCCGGGGAGCCCCGAGTGCTGGGCCTGGCCATGGTACCCGGACACCACATCGTTTCTATTGAGGTGCAGAGGGAGAGCCTGACGGGGCCTCCGTACCTCTGACCACGATCGCGCATGCCTTTCAGACTTTATTAAACCTATGACTGAAGTGACCTGTGTCTGTGTAGCTGGGATTCCAGGACAGGGATAGCACACCCCACCCTAGAAGGGAGGGTTTATCTGAGGTCGGGAACACTCTAAACCTTCCTCTCCCAGTTTGGATATCCAGGGCTGCCAAAGGTTCCCTCGAGTTCGAGGGTGGGGATGGTAGACAAGGTTGAGCTGCGGACCAACAGGCCCCAGGGTGGGCCCCTGCATCTTTCCTCCCACGCTGCTGCTCCAGAATTGTGGCAGGAGGGGGTGTCATCCTGCTCCGGAAGGCCCATTGTTTCCCACTCCGGCCTGGCAACACCGAGTTCCTCTACGCTGAGGTCAGAGAATGGGCTTGGGTCCCCCAGGGGAGCAGGGTTAGCGGCTGAGGCCGGGCCCCCTCCGCTCTATTGATGGGAAGGTGACTGGGGTCAGGGACAGAGCTCTGAGGTCTGCCCAGGAAGAATGGACTAATGCGATAAGGGAAGGCCAGGAGGCAGAAGGATGCTCGGGTCTGCGCATTTGTAACTCCCAGTTCACGTTGTTTCCTGCTCCTGAGCACAGGGCGAGGGTGATGTCTTATTTGTGCCACCTCTCTGTTCACAGAGCACAAATTAAGTTCATTAATTCTTTATTGATGTTTGAGCACCCCTTGCCCTCCAGCCCTGCCCCCTAGCTCGGTAAATACTAGAGGAGCTGCACCAAAAAAGAAGGGCACAAGGTTCAGTTATCTTATTCACTATAGGGGTGTGTGCGCGCGCGCATGTACAGGGTCCAGCCCAGATATTCAGGATTTAGACGTGGGTAGTGAGAGTAAAGTGGGTTTTCCGGGGTGTGGAGATTTTCACCAGCATTGGGTTCCTGACGATGTTGTTCTCTAAGGGGATGCTAGAACCGGCTCAGGCAGGAGTGGGGGCAGGGCAGAAAACCCGGGAACTTCAAGTCCTTGGGCTGGAAGGGAGGGAAGGAAGGCTGCCATCTCGGTTGCTCTTGACTTGAGGTATCCTCAGACCCAGACTTTTCCTGATGTGGGAACGGCTGGGGACCCTGGTGAAGCGCGGGTTTGCAGCGACTGCGGGGCGTGCCGTCGCCGATAGAGGGCTCGGCTGTAGGGTACAAGGCAGTCAGCCAGGCGGAGGCGTAGGCAGAGGCGGCGGTAGCTGGCCAGAGCAAGCACCAACAGCGGCACGAGGAGCAGGAATCCGGTGACCAGCAGGGCCGTGAAGCCCGGGTCCCGCAGGTGCGCGGTGCAAGGGGGTGCCTGGGATCGCAGGAACTGTGGGAGGAGAAGTGGCATGAGGCCCAAGCGGACCTAGGACATACTGTGTACCGAGTGGGAACAGCCCAGGCAGAGAAATTGTGGCCCACAGACGACACCGCCCGCACCACCACACACACCCACACTTCACACGCGTCCCGGGGGCACGCTCACCTGGGAATGGCAGAGGAAGCCGAAGCCCAGCATGGTGACAGCGGGTAGCAATATGGTCCCCAGCACCAGCGCCAGCAGGAGAAGATTGAAGGCAGCCACCAGCAGATTCTGGGCCGTTACCAGCACAGCACAGGCCCAGCAGTCCAGGGGGTCCCGGGGCTCTGGGCCACCGCTGGGAACTGGTCGCTGCGCCCCGGGGACATCCGCCATGGCCCGCCTGGCTCCCGCCCGCCTGGGCCGCTGCCCTTATAGCCCTCTTTCCTGCCCCTCCCCCGGCCTAGCCTCTCCCCACCCCCCTTTATCCTGGAATGCAGCTCTAGGATTAGGCACCCCCCATCCTGAGGAGCGGGCCAGAGCTCTGGACATTCCACAGGCGCCTCTGGGGAGGGGCTCGCCCCTCACTAGGGTCTGTGCAGTCTTCCCCATCAATCATGCTGTTGCAGCCCACCTCCCGGTACTCTCCCTGCTATCACCAGCACGTTATCAAAACAGGGTGTTTTTTTTTCTGGCTTTTATTTTTAATATTAATATTCTCACACAAAAATCACTGAAAATAGGGGTAGGGTTGGGAAGACCCCTCTGCCCCTGGGGCAGAGAGACAGTGCAGTGCGAGGGGATGGGACTGTAAACCCCCCACCCCTCCGCAGCCCCAGCATGGAGAAAAACAACGTAAAGCCCCAGAGAAACTCACCCCGGGGTGTCCCTGCCCCAGTGAGGCCCTGGCCCTGGGCTGTTTCGCGCTTAAAAACAAAAGGGGGTGGGAATGAAGGTCCGTGTTTTTAAAATTGGCCGGGGCTGGGAAGGACGGGGTTCCTTTTCCTCATAGTTCTTTCTTTAAAACCTTTAAATTTTTTTATTTTATTTATTTTTTTTACAAAATACCATTTCAGTTCCCACTTCTTCCCCTACAGTACAGGAGTCGCTCACCCTCAGGCGGGGTTGGGGTCGGGTTGGGAGTTGGGGGACTGGTCCGAGAAAGTGCAGGACGTAGGGGAGGGGAGCGGGTTTGAGCACCATGAGAACCCGGCTGGAGCCGCGGGCGGGCGGACGGGCGGAGACGGTCGGTCGGGCCGGGCCCGGACACACACTGGGGGGCAGGGAGAGCCCGGCGGTGGGCGGTCCCTGGAGGGGAGGGCGGGATGGCTTGGGGTGCGGGAGGTCGGGTTTTCCCAAAAATGAATAAATAGAGGTGAGTGGGACTGTTATAAATTAAAAACCAAAAACAAAAAAGAACAAAAAATACAAATCATAACCAAGTGAATAAACAGACATGTACAGGGGTCACAGCTAGCATTGGAAGTAAAAAAGGAGGTTCCGGGGGAGGGGTAAAGCCCATAGAAAGAATCTCATTAAAAACCTCGGCTGCCATAACGTCTATGTACATACACTAGCCGCGTGCATCTGCGCCGGGCGGGCGGGCGGCTGGCAGGCGTGAGGGAACCCGTATGCGACCCCCGCCGCCGCCGGAGCCTGGTCCTTGTGTCTGTTGCTAGAAAGGCCAAAGTCGGTGAGGGGAGGCGCTGGTGGGCGAGGGGCTGCCAGCACCCTCCCCCCGTCTCCCATTTTTTTTCCTTTTTTCCTCATTATTTGTTAAAAAAATTTTTTTTCTTAATAAATTAAGTGAGGGGAGCTGCCAATGGGGTGGAAGGGCTGGGCCCAATCCCCCTCCCGGCCAGAGGCGGGACCTAGGTCCAGCCCAGGCGTGTGCTGGTGGCCCCGCGACGCCCTGCGCGGGCGGGCAGGCGGGCGGGGCGTCCGGCCTCATCGCGACGTGCTGGCGGGGGCCTGCGGGTGAGAAAGCGGTCTGGTTCAGCAGCGGCGGGGCTGGGCCCTCGACCCCGAGCGCGCCCCTCACCTTCCCGCCCGCCCGCGCCCGCGCCCACGCCAGGCCCTCACCAGCGTGAAGGCGTCGTAGGCCTGCGCCAGCTCCTCAGTGCGGTACTGCTCCAGCACCACCACGCCCTGCAAGCCCGCGCTGCGGCGCCGGGCACAGCCTTCGCAGTGCACCAGGTACGTGTTGCGGCTGCCGTTCTCACTGGTCACAAACAGGATGTTGAACACCTCCACCTGGGACAGGGAGGAGGGGCAGTCAAGGAGGGAGGGCCACGGTGGGTACCTAGGGGCGGGGGGAGCAGGAGAGCGGGCCCACTCACATCGCACTCGTTGCAGTAGTAGGCGGGCTCGTCCTTTACCCTGCCCTGGTAAGCGATTTTCTTCCCTGCCCGCACCAGGCTCTCCCGTTGCACCTGGCAGTGCTTCATGGACTGCAGGAGACAGAACCTGGGGAGCGGTGGGGTGGTGGTGAGGCCAGGCTGCCAGCAGGGGGGAGGAGGCGGGGCAGGGTTGGAGCAGGGCAGAGGGGGTGTGGGCTTAGACCCCTGAGACTGCTCCATAGCATCCCCTTAGGAGGCCTCCCGTCTTTGTGCCTGGGTCGATCTCTGTCCTGACTATCTGTCACAGTTCAAATTTCATGTGGCTTTTGTCTGTTTGGATCACGGGGAAATCAAGATCTTGAGAGCAGAGACCTTAAGCCTCCCCAGCACAGTAACACTGAGGGGCACAGGGCAGACATGGACCGAGGAAGCTGCAAAACTGGGTAGAATCAGGCGGGAACAAGAGCAGGGACCAGGGCAGGTGGAGATGGACTCCCACCAAACTGGGTTCTCACTTGATCATCTTGAACAAGTCGGGGTCGCTGATTTTGACTGTTCGAGCCACATTCCAGGACACGTGAATCATGGGTACAATGGATTTGACGTTCTTTACCTCGTTCCACTCATATCGTTCCAGGGCCAGCTGGTACTGATAGGCTGCAAGCCAGAGGGGGTCACTATGGGATTCTCAACCAGCCCCCAGCCACTGGGGCCCAAGCCCCTTCCCTCACAGCTGGCCATCTTCCCAGTCCTCCCACCCCCACCCCCACTGCTCATTCTCTAGGAGGCTCACTCCCCAGGGGCCCTATGGCTGAGAAGCCCTGCACCTGGCCCCACCCTCTCACCGGTGAGGGGCCCCACGTTCCAGGCGATGTTGTTGCACCAGCCAGTGGCCTGCACCCAGTGCACAGTCCCCGCGTTAATCCACACCAGGTCTCCTGGGCGCTGCACGAAGCGGTACACAGGGATATTGGATGCATAGAGGTCATCCAATATTGGCCACCAGGAACCCGTCAAGTAGTCCACGCCGTGCCTGTGGAGTGGCCACAGGGTCAGGTGGGAACCTGGAGACCGAGGGAGAGGACGCGGTGGGGTGACTAGCAGGGGAGTGGCACGCACCGGTCGCAGAAAGCGCTGATAGTCTCCCAGTAGTGCTCGTGCACAGCGAACCACTCACAGTCACCTGGCCCAATGTTGATGTTGACGGAGCAGAAGTTGTTGTTCTCTTGGTGGCCTGCAGGGGGCGACAGAGAACGGCATAGCTGACCAGATCAGAGCTGCGCCCGCGACAGCCCCGCCCCGTGCCCTCATTGGGTGGCGACTGACCGTCACCGCCAGCCCCTCCTCTAGCGCTTCCCTCACGCCGCACAGGCATGGAGCGTACCTGGCGTTCGGCTGCCGGGCACCTTCATGTACAGCTGCACTGTGTTCATGCCCAGGATGGTGTGGCCCACGTGGCTCAGCATGTTGCCCGTGGATGTTACTCGCATGAAGGCAGGCAGCTTCAGCAGCTCCTGCAATTGGGGCTTCCACCTAAGGTGCGAGAGTGAGAAAAGTGAGAGGGTACCCCTGATTCCCAGCCCACCGGCACTCATGCCCCAGCTTTGCTGGCCTCAGCACACTGACCGCTTGGCATCAGACAGGTCGATGTTGGTGCCAAACTTGATGATGTGATGGTTCTTCGGGTCTGGTGCGCTGCTGTGGGGGCGAAGAGCACAGGTTGGTGGAGAGCAAAGGGAGGGGGAGGAGTCAGGAAGGAAAGGGCATGTCTGTACTGTACCTAGGAGGGGTTCCTGTGGTGCTGTCCGGCTCTTCTGACTCCTCATCCTCACTCTCCTTCTCCTCCTGCTCAGCCAGAGGAGTACACAGGCCTGGGTCGGTGACCTTCCAGGAGCCCTCCCACTACAGCCCCTGATCCCAGCACCCTGCCTCTGCTCATGCTCCCCTCTCACCTGCAGCGACTCCTGGAAGGACGAGGCTTGGTACTGTGCATACTTGGCAATGGTGGTGTGGGAACGGGAACTCTCGCAGGGCCAGATCTGTCGTGTGCCAGTCAGGTCCCAGTTCTCATCTGAGGGCTGCTGCACCTGGGTGCGCACTTCCACGGTGTGCTCGCCACTTGCCTCCACCAGCGTCTTGGTGGAGAAGAGGCCCAAGTCTGCAAGGGAGGGCCGAGCAGGGCGTCGGGGCAGAGGCAGAGGACAGGGACCGAGGACCCAACTGACCCTTTCCCTTCCTACTCTCGAGGCCTCTGACAAGATGGACAATGGCTTGGCGAAGCTCAGCCCAAGAGAAATAGGCAAGAACCCCTGGCCCCACAGGAAGCTGGGAGGGCTGGCCTCTATGTGGCTTCTCACCAGCCCCCTTCCTCCCACAGCTGTTCAAGGCTCTGCCCCTCAACAAGAGTCCTCAGGGATGCATTTGGCCATGTGTGCAGAGCACCTGGCACACAGTAGGTGCTCAGTGAATGACAGCTTAAGTTACCATTGGATCCAATTAAAGACTTAGTTAAGTGAAAGCCTGAAATGTGCTTCAAATAACTCAGTGGAATGAAGGGAGGATACATGGGTATAAAGGAAACAAGACTGATCTTTATATTTCTGTATGATTTCCTCTACTTTTGTATGTTTGAAATTTTGCACAATAAAACACTGAAAGGAAAGCCACAGGTTTTCAGGAGTTTTCTAAAGTCTGCGTTCTTTTCGTCCTTAATCACCAAGAAAACCACAGTGAATCTCACCAGGCCCTGAAATATGTCCCCTTCCCATTTGCCCACTGCTGGAACAGACAGATGGAAGAAAAGCCCAAGGCCAGCTGACCCATCACTCAGAGATCTTCTCATAGCCACTGTCCTGGGTCTTTAAGTGTGGGGGTTCTCAGAGGGTCCCATATGCCCCATATCCCTGCAGCCCTCCCCACACTTTCTGCCCCCCATACTCACTGAGCCGCAGGGAACCTGCCAGGCCTCTGATCACGGTGATGGGGTTTCGAGGGTCTGTACAGAACTGCAGCAGGACCGGCGAGAAGGCGTCCCGTTTGCTCTCCAGCTGAGAGACACCAGGAGAGGCTGGGGTCAGAGCCCTGGCCCAGGCTCAGAGCACCCCATTTGACCCCAACAGTGTCTTAGAACCCTCTGGCAGGGGTGGTTCTGAGGACAGATGGCACACATACATAGATGCTGGGTGTAGGGGGGTTGAGTTTTTCCCGGGGCAGCTTCTCCTCAGTGTTGATCTTCGGTTTCACAGACTGGGCAGGGGAAAGGTAGGACTCTCGAAACTTCCCTTTCACCTTGGCATTCCTGTGGGAGGACAGTGGAATGAGGACAGAAACATCAGGGTGATGGGACCAAGTGTGCAGCCTTGTGGGTGACGGCCCCCAACTCACTTGCTGGCACGCACTACATCAGCAGCACAGTGACTGATGGTGAGGTCTGCCATGCGCAGCCGCCGCTCCTCCACCTCAGAGGCAATAAAGGTCTCCTTGTCACCACTTTCTACCTTGATGAGCCGGATCTTCAGCTCCTTGGGGGGCCCCTCACTAAGTGAGCGCAGCTTCAGCATGTCAGCCCGGCTAACGCACGGTGGCCCTGGAGCTTCCTCCCGAGCCTTCTTTACAGGGACAGGGGCTGATGGGGGTGTGGGCTGGGCAGAAGGTGCAGGGGTTGGTGGAGGGGCCGGAGCTGTGGGTAGCTTCGCCTTGGAGGCCCCACCAAGATCAGGCCGGGCCTTCTCACGACCCTGGATCTCCTCGCTCTGCAGGTCCAGGTTCCCCAGCACCCGGCGGCTCTTTTCTTTGGGGGCCTTGGCCTTAGCCTTTGCCCTGCCCTCACGGGGCCGGCGACCCACAGTGTCCTTACAAGCCCGCCTGTGGCGCTGATGCTCCTTCTGGTGCTCCTTCTGCCGCCGCTTACTGCTGCCTGACCCTGCTGCTGCCACCACCCCTCCACTCTCCTCCTTGGCCTGTGCGGGAGGCAGCAGTCGCTCAGTCCCACTGTCCACTGGGCCCGCTGTGTCCACTGGGTCTGCTGGGTCTGTGGCACTCCGGCCCACCCGCTCCACAAGGGTCTCACAAGCCCGACTGATCTCTTCTAGCACCTCAGACTCAGAGCGAGCAGGGGGCAGCGGCAAGGGTGGGGGCAGCTGGGTGGGGGTTGTGGGGCCCGGGGCTGGCTCTTCGCCTGCCCTGCGCTCCCGGGCCCAGGGCCCGCTTGAGGTAGAGAACTGAGATGACGAGGAAGCAGAGGGCTGTGGGGAGCCCTGGGCGCTAGGGGCCGCTGAGGTGGGTGGCAGGATGGTAGCACCTGATGGGGGACCAGGGGAATACTGAGTGGTGGGCAAGGGCCCAGGCCGGGTGGGAACAGCTGCTCCAGTCCCCCGGTAACAGTACTTTTGTCCCTCCAGCACGGAGGCCAAGGATTTGAGCAGGCTGGCCGGGCTGGCTGGTGGGGGTGGTGGTGGCTGTGGCTGGGGGGGTGGAGGAAACTTGGCTAGAGGCGGCGGTGGTGGTAGGGCTGGTGGTGGCTTCTTCTCCTCTTCCTGGGTGGCTGTGGTGGTGGTGGTGGTGGTGGTGGTGGCGGCGGCGGCAGCAGTGGGAGCAGTGGTGGTGGGGGCTGTGTCAGTGGGGAATGGAGGCTGCAGAGATGCAAAGGGCTCCTTTAGTGGGGGTGGGGGGACCACGCCTGCCTCCTGTTGTTGCTGCTCCTCCTCCTTTCGAATTGATTCATCCAGCATCTTCATGATGTTGGCCAGCCCATCAGGTAGGATCTTGAATTCGGCTGGCTCCTCAAACTGGTCCTCCAATGGGGTAGGGGGAAAATCAAAGAGTCGCGGGCCTCGGGCAGGCAGCTCCCCAACGCCGGGCGGCACAGGCTGGGGGGCTTTACTCAGTGGGCCTGGGGGTGGCCCCGGCCCCACCTCGGGGGTCTTTGGGAAGGAGACCCTGGGCCGGGGGCTCTCCGGGCGCCTGAAGCTTCCTGAGGTATTTTGGTGACAGGAAGAGGGAGGGGCTGGAGGCAGGGCAAGAGTCAGGGGTGCAAGAGGTGGGTCCTGGGGGCTCAGTGTTGGGCTAGGGGGCCGGGGAAGGGGGTCCATACTTCTGGCCAGATATGGAGGTGGGGGAAAGGACACAGGCCCAGCAGGGCTGCTACTGTGGCTGCCATTGTTGCTGCTGCTACTGCTGGTGGTTGGGGGAGTGGAAGGGGTGTGCGAATCCTGAGTGCCCACAGAAAAGCGGGGGGCCGGAGGCCCCAAGAAGCCCTCGCGGTGGGGAAGGGGTGGTGGGGGAGGGCAGGGGGGTCCCTCAGCCCCGAAGAAGAGCTCCTCTAAGATCTCTCCATCCTCTCGGGCTGCCCGGCAGGCCGGGCCCTTCAACCAGGCAGGGGGTGGTGGTGGGCGTAAAAGGCGGGGACATGGTGGTGGAGGGGGTGAAGGGGGCCCAGGAGGCAGGGACAGGTGGGGAGTGGCAGCGGGAGCCCCCAAGAACGGTTTCCGACTGCTGTGTGCCAAGGGCCCCAGGCGGCCCGGGTGAGAGGAGACCTCCAGCGCAGGAGTTTGGTAATGGTCAGCGCCGGGCTGCAAGTGTAGGATGAGGCGGTCAGAATGCTGCTCTGGCCACCTCAGACAAGCTCCACTGATCCCCCACTCCACCCTCTACCTGCAGTTGTCACTCACAATGCCTGGGTTTGGCTCCACACCCCGGAGACCGGTGTTGCTGCTGCTGCTACTGCTGCTGGTGGTGGTGGCGGTGCCGGGGAGGCCAGGGGGCCGGGAAGGGGCGTAAGGCACGCAGGCGGTGGTTGCTGCTGGTGAAACGCTGGAGTCCATCCGCGACCTCTGAACTCTGCTCTCTCTAAGGTCACTTCCGGGGGGACGGGTGGCAGGCAGGCAGCCATGGCTCTCTGCTCCTGGGGGGCGGGGGCCTGGGCCTGGGGGTGCGGCCGGAACCAGCCGGTGGCCAGGGGGGTGTGAGGTGTAGGCTGGAGCTGGGTATGGATATGGGTGAGGCAACGAGTGCCGCTGCTCCTATGGGAGATAGATAAATGAGGACACAGGCTAAGAGAAGAGCATGGGATTTGCAAGTAAAAGGTGAAAGGCAACATACAGGGGCTTACCTGGCGCTCTGGGGGCACTGAACCCTTGCGCTCGGGGCCCCAGGCATCTCCATGCAGGGTACTCCACAGCCCTGGCTTGGTCAGTTGAAACGGGGGGCTGGTGGCCAGGCCAGGCAGGGGTGGTGGTGGTGGTGGTGGCGGCGGCAATGGAGGTGGAGGCAGTGGCAGCCCTGGGGGAAGGCCAGTCTAGAAGAGAAAAGGGTGTAAGAATCCCAACTCTTTGCCTCAGTCCTGCCTATTTACTGCCTGCTGATCCACCTATGAGCATACCTGTTCAGAGTTGCAGCCTCTCCTGCGCTTGCCTCCGGGGCTGAGGCCCTCCTCCCCTGAGGGGCCTGAGAGTGCTGCAGGAGGCACAGGCTGCACCACTGGGGGTTCAGCAGCTCGCTTCACTGGGGGACCTCCCCGCTTGGCCCCATAGTTCCGCTTGTGCTAAAGACAAAAAGAGAAGAGAGAATGGCACGAGTGCAGGCCTAGCCCAACCTTCCTCCCTAGCCCACCCAGCCCCAGTCTCACCTCAAGGTGCAGCAAGTTCCATACTTGCTCCAGAGGGGGCAGGACCTTGGCTCGGTGCTGGCAGGAGCCAGCATGAAAGTTCCAGAGCTGGGCCTGGGGGAGCACAGGGTAGAAACAGACATAGGTGGGGGCACTAAGTCAAAGGCACTATCCTAGGCTCCTATGTACTGCCTCATCCTACCTGCTGCAGTCGGCCAATGCGGGGCCCCAGCTCAGCAAAGCTTCCTCCATATCGAAGGGCACTGTGGTAGCAGCGTATGGCCTCCTCACTGTCATGCTCTGACTCGTACAGCTGCCCAAGCTGTTCCCACAGCCCTGGCTGGGCTGGTTCCCGGAGCAATGCCTGCACACAGCCATGCAGGGATTCCAGCTTCCCATGGAGGGGTCTTGGGGTGGGCGTCCTATATAACAGAGCAGTTGATGGAGGGTCAGGCTTGGGGAAACTCTTTCAAGGCCCCAGCCTTACCTCCCATCCCCAAAACCTTCAAATCCCCCACTCACCCTGAAGCATAATATGGTTTGCTGGGGTGCCCAGAGCTACTGCCATGTGAAGGGGGTAGGGGAGCAGGGAGCAGGGGCTGCCCAATGCTGGCTGAGCATCTGGAGGAAGAAGAAGTCTGTTATGTACAACAAGAAGGAGCAGTCTTGTCCCTTCCTAGGAAGGAGGGGACTACAGAAATAAGAGCAGCTGAGAACTGCACAGAGACCCACAAAATGAAACCCATGGAGAATGATGACACGGAGACTGAAGGATATAGAAAATGAGAAGATGAATGCCTCAAGAAGGAGAAATGGTAAAAGTTCTCACCTGCCTCCAGGCAGCCATGCGCTACGAGGAGGGGGATGAGGCGGGCAGGAGCTCCAGGCCCCAGCACAGCTCAGGCCCCCAAGGGCAAAGGCTTCCCGTGCAGCGCGGGCCCCTGGAGGGTCCACTGCCCGATGCATCCAGCCTGAGTGGGGATAAGAGATTATGCTCTTACTGAAGGCAAAACCAGAGCTGCCAGGGAACATCCCGCTAACCCAGCCCCAGACTTTCCCTTACCAGGTCAGCAGTGGCCCCAGGAGCCCTGGAGATCGGGCACGGCCCCCTGCCCCAGCTCTCTGGGACGATGGTCCGGCTCCAGCCGCTCTGACGAGAGTGCCCACTGCCCCAGATGGCCGCCTGGGGCCTTTCACAGCCAATTCTACAGAGAGAAGGAGAAAAGGGAGTGAGGTGAGCTAGCCAACACACAGGGCCCAGGGGCTGGGTTGGGCTGGCTGTGGCACCTACAGGTCTGTCATTTGTGCAGGAGCCTGGCTTTGGCTTTCCCTAAGGGGAGGCCCACCAGGCCTAAGGAGCCCCTAGAGGGCCAATAAAAGTGGCTAGGAGCCGAACGGCCAGTCAGTGGGACAGGGCAGCTGCACTGCCAGACTTCCAGTCCGAAGCCATAGAGGCCAACCCGCAAGGCCGCTGCTTACCCGGCCTCCGTGGGAGCGTCCTCTCACAGCGCCGGCGAGCTCCCAAGATCTGGCCAATCACAGGACTTCCTCTCTCCCCAGAAAGCCAATCATCACCCGCGTCTCCGCCTCAGTAACAGCCTGGCCGGAACCAATCGGAGCGAGGTTAGTCCGGCAGGCAGCGGCCGGAGGAGGAGGGGCGGCGGAGCCGGTCTGACGGGCTCGGCCTGGGGTGACCCCGATGTGACCCCGTGGCTCCTGTCTAGGGTCCCCATCTTGGATCTGACACTCAGGCCGGCAGGACAAGAAGGCCAGCAAGGACGAGACGGGTGCGGCTGACGGCAGTGAGTCGCACGGTCAGCCCGGCCTGGAGGAAGACACTACCGGCAAGGCTCGCGCAGCCACTGAGCCACCGGTGATTCCGGCCATCTCCAGTCGCCCTCCTCCAGGCCACCACAAGACCGACGGACGGCAGACGAGCAGCAGAAAGCAAAGACGTCCCTCCCCTTCTCGCTTCACCTCGCCCAGTGACTGACCACTCCCCTCCACCCCGAGCGCCCCTGAGAACTGCTTAGGACTGGCCGGCCACTTCGACTTCTACGGCACCCAAACCCTCCCGCGCTGGTAGCAGAGCACTCCACCCCCACAACACCCGACCCGATCCCAACGTGGTCAAGCCCCCAGCCTCATACCCAGTTCCTCCAGCTCCTCCACTTTCCCTGGCTCTCTGGGTCTTCAATACTGACCGACCCCCAAAGCAAAACTCGCCCTGTAATCCCCCAAATTCCGAGAAGTCGCGCACCGCAGTCCCGAGTGGCCCCTCTCTCGTGGCTCCAGTATCCTCTATGCCCTTCCCCGCCGGGGCCACGCGGTTCCCCACGGCCCACGTGGCCCCCGCCCCCCAAGGGAGGGGGGATTTCGGGGGTTGCCCGTGACGTGGCTACTTGCGCAGCGGAAGCGGTGTGTGTAAGTGTAGGGGGGGTCCTAAGGGATGGAGGAGGGCGGGGCCCGGCAGGCAGTGACATCACCCTTGTCCCACTCTCACCGCCCACTCCCTTAAAGAACCCAGAACCCGTTTCACTTCCTCCTTCACGCCCCCCCACCCCTTCCCGTAGGTGCTGGCTCAGACCCACGACGGACACAGCACTCCCCTCTTCTGGGCACCTTCCCTTTAGCCCCAGCTCTTCTCGCCTTTCTAAGCCCAGGAGCTGCGTCCCCGCGCCTACCCGGCGTCCCCGCAGGTAGGGAGCCGGCTCCGCTCCCGGGATCGGTCCATTGAGAGTCTAGAGTACAAAGAGCGGCGAGAGGCGAGTGTCGAGTACAAAGCGGCGGGGGCGGGGCCAGTGCTCCAGCTGGAGCAAGCGCCGGGCAGGAAGCCGGGGGAGAGTGAGCGACTAGGGGCTGGGGGTGGCTGGAAAGTTCGCCTTCGTTAAGAGAAGTCTGCACTGTGGGGAAATTTCCACCCAGCCCACAAGGTCGGATGGGTTTCTGGTGAAAAGAGCTTTCCCTCCCGCAGGGACAAGGTCATCTGTTTGCAAGGAAACGCTTGGACCCTACAGGTCCCAGCGTGCCACTCTCCGCCGAGCCCTGGTGGATGCTTGGGCCCCGCGGACCCTCTCTGCAGTTCAAGCGGAGTTTCTGTCAGAACTCTCCTCACCAGGGGCAGCAGCCTTTCTATCAGTTAGCAAACACCGAGACTAGTACTGTATTTAAATACGGTCAAGTATAGCCCTGGCTGGCTGTCCCCACCCAAATCCCGGGGTGGGGGTGGGGAAACCCATGCATCAGACATGGGCAAATGCGGAGCTGGGGGACCAGACATCAGAGGAGCAGATCCCTACTTGGGAAGTAGTGCCGAGGGTGCTGCCAGTTACCAGGAAATGCAGCTTCCCCTTCTGCGATGATGACACTTCCCCTCTGCCACTTCCCCTTTCCCACGGGGAACTGACTCAGCTTTCCCTAAATCAGCGATTCCTGTCCCTCAAGCCGTGGTCTTACACCTTTATCCACACACCCTCACGCCGGCACCCAGGAATACAAAGCCCTCACTTGAAGACAAAACTTCCTGTACACTAAACACACACTCACTCCCGCCAGCCAACTCGGATCCTTGTCCCCACCCGGGACCCAGGCGCCTGACTCCTCATCTGTCCCCCATACAAAGCCCTCCCTTGGGGTCTGATTCAGGCTTGGGATGGGGGAGTGTGAGTCACCCAGAAAACCTTCCCATATTCCCACTGACTCAGCCCCCGCCTCCCTGAACACACACAGACACACAGTCAGAGGCAGACACAACTCCTCAGCCCACACACTGTTCACCACCGGTCCCGCGGAATTTCCCGTCTCATCTCCCCCCGCCACAATGGCCCCTCCCCGCGCCGGCAGCCCAGACGCCGCGCTCACACCTGTTCCCCGGCCGGCTCGCGGTCCACTCTCACCTCCACTCTCGCTTTGGAGTAAGAATAGCCCTCTCTGACTCCCAGTGTCCATACTAACCAAAGGCAGGGGACAACCACGGGCAGGCACACCCACAGACTCCTCGAAGACAGATGAGAGGTAGACGCACGAGGCCAGAGCCAGGCTAGGGGGCCGAAACACTTCTGGGGCTGACATTCCAGCCTCTTCCAACCCGACCCACAATCCCTGGAGCCAGCAGCTCTGAAAGGGTTAATTCTTCTCCTGCCGAGGCCACGCCCTCTCCATCCGGGCACTCCCGGCAAAGCCCAGCTCCACCCCCAGCATCCGGGCTCTGGACTAGGGACTTTAACCGACCCCCCCTCACCCCCCACAGCCCCAAGGGAGAACCACTCCATCAATCACACCCACTTAACTCTCTCCGGGCTTGAGGCCGAGGAGCCCCTCCGCGCAGCGCCGCAGCCGCGCGGGACGCGTGGTAAGAGGCTGCAGAGCGCACGCAAACTCACAAGACAGTCAAAGCAAGACCCCGCAGATAGGGTTTTACCGCGCAGGCAGTTAGCGGGCACGCAGCACGCGCGCAGAGGTGGGGCGGGTCCAGGACCCTGGCCGCATCCCGTCTGCCCGTCCTCATTCTGCCTGGTGGAAGCGAGGGGTTACAGGCTCGCTTCTTACCTGGGGGAGGGGGAGGCGGAGGGGAGGGCTGCCGGCGGAGGCTTCGCTGTGACTCAGCCACCCGGGCAGGCCGCCCGCCCGGGATTCCCTTCCCCAGCCTTCCCCCGCTGCCAGCCCCACCCCGCCCCCCACAGAGGAGTGACGGTGCCGGCCCCGGCCCGCTATGTGTCACTGCAGGCCTTGTGTCTGCCTCTGACTGAGCGCTGTGTTCGTCAGTCTGTCTGACACGGTCGGCTGTGTGTGGGTCCCGGTGTCTGTCTCCGTGTGCACCTGCATATCTGCTCATCTTGTCTCCCACAGTGCCTGTGTCTGACGCGTTCCTGTCATTATCCCTGTCTACACGACTCCGCGGGGTTGTCTCTGTCTGTGTGTCTGCCTAGCTCCTGTCTCGGTCTTTTGTCTGGGTCTGCCTCTGCATCACTAGCGTGATCACGTGTGTCTCTGCACATGCCCTTCTGTGTTTGCCTTCATGTTCCTGAACAGAATCAAGGAAACATTAGAGCGGGCTGACCCTGCTGACTCCTTGCTTCACTCCCCTGAATCCTGATGTCTTGCTGGGTCACTGATCATTCTATTTGACTGAAGTATTTTGGGGGTTCTGTCTGCCTTCAATCAGTTTCTGTCCCATCCCTCAACATCCCTGCTTATCCTCACAGCTCCCTGAAGCTCCCATTATAATGACAATTGCTAGCATTTAGTGAATATTTATTACATGCCAAGAATCACATTAAGTACTCCATGTGAATTTTTTTACTCTTTCCCAAAACCTGACATAGGAGGTACTTTGGTTACCCCATTTTACAGATTAGGAAATTGAGGCTCAGAGGGGTTAGGTAACTTGCCCAAGGTCATTCTGCAAGTGAATGGAAGAGCTGGGCTTCTTTCCAGAGCCTCATTCTTACCACTTTTCTAATACTACCTCTGTTCTATTCTCCCTCACATGGTTTTAGTCTCACAGGCCATCTTCCTCTCAGCTCTACCCAGTGTTACCATCCCAAATGTCTCATGTCCTCTAGAAAAGGTGTGGGTAGGAGGCTGTGCTGAAGATTTCAGAAGCCACAGACTTCTTGGCAATGAAGCTCATTCAGTTAACATGTTATTCAACACAAATCCACTGAGGCACCCCAAAGTGCAAACCATCATGCCAAATAGTGAGAAATATGTAAAAGAAAACCACACAAGAAACACAATGAGTAATGGGGAAGAGCAACACACACTGAGAGAACTTAAGTCCCTGGCCTAAGGATCATTTTCCTTTTTCTCCCACAGAGGAATAGGAAATGAAGCAGGGCCTTGGGCAGAGAACTGGCAGGAGAGTGGGAAGCAGAAGAGGAGTAAGATTTAGTGGGGCAAATACTATCGTTCAGTGGGGAGACAATGGACAGAAGGGATCTGGAATGAAAGGTAAGATACAAGTTTGCTGTGGCCAGAGTAAGCTGTTGTGGCAATGTTCTCCATTATCTCCCCAAATCAATTTCTAAACACCCTCTATAAGCCAGTCTATTCAACAACTCTTATAGGGCCAAAGCCCTTCCCCTCCCAAGAAAAAATTCTGGGGTATCTCACATCCACTTTTCAGCTTGCAAACCTGAGCTTAATTTGATAAACACGCCAGGCGTGGTGGTTCACGCCTGTAATCCTAGCACTCTGGGAGGCCAAGGCGGGCAGATTGCTCAAGGTCAGGAGTTCGAAACCAGCCTGAGCAAGAGTGAGACCCCGTCTCTACTATAAATAGAAAGAAATTAATTGGCCAACTAACATATATATAGAAAAAATTAGCCAGGCATGGTGGCGCATGCCTGTAGTCCCAGCTACTCGGGAGGCTGAGGCAGGAGGCTCGCCTGAGCCCAGGAGTTTGAGGTTGCTGTGAGCTAGGCTGACGCCATGGCACTCTAGCCAGGGCAATAGAATAAGACTCTGTCTCAAAATAATAAAAATAAAAAAATAAGCAACTTCGGGTGGGGGTAGAGATTTTTTGGTGGTAGTGGAGACACTGGTGAAGTACAAGGCTAAACCATCCACAGGAGACACAGGGGAGCTCCATAAACCAGGAAGGCTGAACCACTCAAGCACCACATGGTGGGGAAAACTCAGAATTGGACTGGACCATTTTGAAGAGTGGGCATGATCCATGATCCAGATCATACCAAGCATCTTTAACCATAAGGTGCAGAGTTGGACTGTTGAGAGGAGAAGGTCACCCAGGGGCAGGACTTACCAGATGGAGTTTGTTGTGCCCTGTCTCATTGGAACCAGTGTCCCAGCAATGGGTACAGCAAACCACGGTGGTGGGGTGGGCAGTGCTATGGGGCTGGCATGGTGCCTGAGGGGAACCTAAAAGAAAGAAGTCAGTTAAGGGTGGGGTCTCCCAGACTGGAAAATTTCTGTGCTCCCTGTCCCCTCTTTAAGGGGAGACCTGGCTTTGGGATTAGATAGGATGGGAGAATCTGTTTCCATGGCAACCATAAAAAGCCATCTCCAAAGTGGTCCTCCAACCTTCCCCTTTAGGACACAGCCTGGACCAGATCATAAGAGGGGCATGCTGTAGCATCTAAGTCTACACTGGACACCCAACCCATGATCGCGCCTCTGCTTGGACCCTCCTGCTGAGACTCACTGGTGCCTGACATCTGTCTGTACTGCTGCCCTGACATCTGTACACAAGCCAGTTTGAGTTCTAGCCCCAGGGCATGTAGACCCTCTTCCTTTAGCTCTGTGTCCCCTCCAACCTCATCAAGACACCAGACAGTCAACCCCACTCTCTGGACTCTGCCTCCTCTTCTTCCTTCAGGCGGGTACAGGCAGGTCTTGGCTAGCAGCACAGGTGGCCAGACTTGATGAACGGGCCCAACAGGGAGGTGTCTTCCTCCTCTGCAAGAACTATGACTCTGGGCCTGATCCTGTAAGTGGCCTCTGCTGCAAGCCTCCCCTCCATCCCACCCCTCAAGGCCATATCCTGTTTCCCCATCACCTCCTTCCTCTATGTGGCCAAGAAGGTGTTAGAGGCCCATACCCTTTCTTCTCTATCCTCAGAGACAAGAAACTAGGTCTTTTAACATAAGTCCAAGGCCAAGAATCAGATGTCCATCCTAGGTTTAGACCTAAATCAGCTCTCACCTCAGATTCACTCCTCAGAGACCTATGTTTTCTGCTCCCTTACTCATAGTTCTCATTCTCTGCCCTTACAAGCCCATACTCATGGGCTCCCAGTCAAATTTCTATTCCCTGTCCTTCCAGCCCCCATCCTTCCCCCTGCCCCAGGGACTCAAGCCTCTGGCCCCCAGCCTCCATGATGCAATGTGCAGCAAGCTTCCATGGCTGCTGATGACACTGCCCCCAGGGATGTCCTATTTCTGACCCATGCAAGGCCCCTTCACTGGGCCAGGGTAGTGGTCAGCTGAAGACTGGACAGGCCAGACAAGCAAGGCCCTTCTGCTGGAGAAGGGAGCTTGAGGCTAGAACCCTCTAAGACAGGGAGACTCAGAATGTGGGACCAGGGAGTAAGTATGTATAGCCTGAAACATTTGTGTATGTGGTTGTGATGGGGGCAGGGTCTAGTCTAGAGGGAGGGGAGTGGGCAGGCCTTAGGACAGACCAAGAGGAGGTGTGAGGGGCAGCCAAGGGGGTCAGGGGTGTGTGTGAGGGGTGTCTGGACACCAGAGTGGGGGAGGGGCTAACAGCCATTTAAAGGGCCAGCCCCAGAGCTTTAATCCCTCACCAGCCCTGGCCCCAAGCCGGAGGCTGTAATTCATCTGTCCAACAGCTGGGGTGTGTGTGTGTGTGTGTGTGTGTGTATGTGTGTGTGTGTTGGGGGGGCATGTGGACGGGAAGGGGGAGCTGGGGGAGGGGCTGGGGCTTTCTTGTGCACAGAGCCAAACAACAAAAGGGGAAGCTGAAGGGCGAGCTCGTGTGCCCAGGCCAGGCTGCTGACCTGCAGACCTGCTGGTGGCCCCCACCTGGTGGCTGACAGACTCTGTAGTTTGGACTTAGGATTCTTGGCCAAGGAGTCCATGGACCCAAAGGTGGGGCCCTGGAGAAAGCACGGGCTAAGCACCCCCCAGGCAGGCTGTCACCCCTCCTTGTACCTTTCCAGCCACAGCACTGTTCCAGACCTGGCAGGCCTGGCTACAGACTCAGCCTCAAATGCCCTGCTCACTGGCCAAGCCTCCCCAGACATTGCCTGCCGGCTCCCCCGCCTGCCGGCACAGGGTGGCAGCGGCCACACCGAGGCTGTCCCTTTAAATCATTACCACCCTTGATTGTGTGGAGGAACCAAGGGCCCTGCCCCCCAGACAGGCAGCTTGCTACCTCCCCCCCAAATGTGAGGGCCATTTAAAGGGACAACAGAGAGGCAGCCAGGTCTCTAACTGACCCCCACCCCCACCCTACACACACACACACACACACACACACACACACACACACACACACAGAGCCCCTCTCCCCAGCAACACACAGCCCCTTGCCCCTCCAGGGGGCCCCCCAAATTCCGGTTCTCTCCCCACCCCTAGATACTGCTAGAAGGAGAAGGGGGGCCAGAGTTGGGGGGGCAGGGAACTAGGGGGAGCGAGAAAAGGACAGGTACTCCCTCCTCCCCCAGAACCCCAGGAGACAGGTTTTTAAGGAGCAAGTGCCACGAGAAGCAGAGAGACAGAGCCCCAAAAGGTGCCTAGGGCAGACCTAGGGCACGCAGGCTGTTGGACGAGGGGAAAGGAATCAGGCTGCACGAGACGGCGGCGCAGCCAGTGGGCGACAAGCCCAAGTGGGGGCGATGGAACAAGGAAGGCCAGGGAAAAGAGGCAAGGCCAGGGAAAACGGGGAGACGGAAAGGGGGAAAGGGGTCATCCGGGAGGGTGTGGAGGAAAATCCGAGGGGGGAGGGTGAGCCAGGCCAGGGTTACCTGCTGGGTGTCTGTCCCCCGGCGGTGCCCCCGGAGTCCGGGTAGGGAGGGGGGGAAAGCAGCGGGGGCGGGGGAGTGGGGGCTGGGGGGGCGGGGGAGACGGTCCCTCCTCTGCCTCCTGGGCCTGCCCCGGCGCTTGCAGCCTCTGCCTCCCTCCCTCCTCCTCCCCGTCCCTGAGTCCCGGAGTCAAACAAAGAACTGTAGCAGGCTCTCCCCAACCCCCTCCCTCCTCCTCCTTCTCCTCCTCCTCCACCTCCTCCTCCCCTCCCTCCCTCCCCACCAGCAGGCTCCCTCCTCCTCCCTTCCGGTCTCTTCCTTTAACTACCCGCCCCCCCCCAGCCCCCTGCACTAGTCTCTCTCCACCCACCCACCCCAATCTTTTACACACCCCTCAGCCTAGCCCTTTCGCCGCTACGGAAACTGTGGAGTCCCTTTGCAAAATGAAAGGTTCCAGAGAACAACATGGGAAGGGACTGGGGTCTTGCCTCAAAATCGAACCATAATACAATTATTTTATTTTCAAAGCCAAAGGAATAGTCTTAGCTATTTCCTCTCTGAGAGTGGCAAAAAATAATCCTAAATAAAGCAATACAAATCTGTCTAAAGCCCTCATCAAATAAAGTGCACAAAGCAGTCACAGCTAATCCCCAGCACCCCCACCTCCAAATTAACACAAACTATCCACTCCTCCCTAACAAACTCCTGAAGTCATGGTTAGTTTGGAGTAGGTCTACCACCTATAATAATAAAGATAATAACTAACACCATTTAATAATAAAAGTATTTCATAACAACGAGCATTCATTCAGTGTGTATTCTGTGCCAGGCACTGTGCTAAGTGCTTTGTATAAATTATCTCATTTTTTTCCCATGGGCCTGAAGGTAGGTATTGATATTTAAATTTTCCAGATTAAGAATATGAGGCTCATTGAGGTTGTGACCTTTCCAAGTCCCAAAAGCCACTAAGTGGCAGAGCTGGGATTAGAAACTAGGTCTGATATGACTACCCAAACTCTAAGGTACATAAAGGCAGACACTGATTTTTTCCAATACCATCACCAACCCCAGGACTCTATAGAGAAGGGCAACCATAGCTGTCAGCTGAGACCTCCTCCCCTGAGATGCCAGGGAGGAAACTGGCCCACCCTCCTACACAGTATAATGACCCTGACTATTCAGCCTAATACTGTTTCTTGACCTTTTTCCTCAACTGTTTGCAGAGGTGTGTGTGTGTACCATAGATTAAGGGGACATCAAGGATGAGCTGGTGTCCAATGAATCCCCCTAACTACACATAACTTTTCTCCTAGGGGTAGCTATCTTGACAACCACTTCCACTCCAAGTTAATGTGGGTGGGAAGGGGGCAATGAGACACTTGGCCATACAGCAGGTGGGAAAGTAAAGAGACTACTCAGAGGCTCTTTCTGGGGGTGGAGGCTTGGAGGGGAAGCCCTTCTGTGCCAATCTAGGGAAAAGTGACCCAAGGTTCTCTCAGCCTAGCAAAGGGGCAAAGTCTTTCAGCCACACCACACCCGTGCCCCTCCCCCTCCCAAAACTCCAGGCCGGGGTTTCACACCTGCAGGAGGCTAAGGCCAAAGGAAGAGAGAGGGGAAAGAGATGGCACGGGACTGGAACTGGACTCAGGGCAGAGGTGGGAGGGAATGGAAGGGGGAGGAGATCTCATTGCCTGGCAACCATCCCGGGGCACGTGCACTGGTGACATCATCCCAGGCCACCTCTAACACAGACCTTTGACCCCTACAGGTCTGCAGAGGTCTGCTGGCTGAGCTTCCTGGGAAACAGCCGTAGACCTTCTGGGAACCCAAAAAAGAGACGTGGGAGGGAACCCAAGCGTCCTGCCTTCACCTCTTTTACCCCCAATACGACTCAATCCCAGGGACTCGGCCTTTCGCTTGCCACCGCTCCTCCGCCTCCAGCCCTGACCTCCCAACCCACATTTCTGACAGGAGTCCCGACACGCCTCTCGGAGACACAGTGCCTCATCTCTCTTGGGCGAGCTCGCGGGTGGGGGGTGGGAGGAGGGGAATGGGGGCACCGGGTCCCACGGGGCTCCGTCTCCCATCTGCGGGATCCCCAGTGCCCAGCCGGCCGCCAGCCATAATCTGTCTGGGTCCCCAACTGTCCCGCCCCTCCCCGCGCTGTTCCAGGGCGGAGTCTGTGGAGTTGAAATCAGGACACGGCGAGAGGAAGAGTTATGTAATCGGGAGAAGCAGAGAAGGACGAGTGGAGACGGGGACACACATCCCGAAAGGAGCCGAGGGAGGTGTAAAGAACACCAGGGCGAGTAAGGAGGAAACGTTAAGGATGGCAAGGCTTTTGGTGCACATCAAAGAGCAGGAATTCATGCGAAGAAGGGGCGTGTTGGCCCGGGGGAGTCACCTGGGCCGTCCGGGGCTTCCCCGCAGCGTCCTCCCCTTTTACCAACTACAGCTGGGCCCGGGGAGTGAAGCCTCGGGAAGGGGCTCTGGTACCCGCTCCCTTTCTCCTGGGGAAGCAACCTAAGCCAGAGCCCGGGAAGGCAGTGCCTGAGCATATGGGGCCGGAAACCACAGCTCCGCCCAGCCCACCTGGGAGCATGGGGCACCAGCTGGGGGGAGGTGGGGAACAGGTAGCTGGCCCTCCCAAGCGAGGCTGGGCATTAATGGTCGCGACGCAGTGAAACAGTGCTGACCGACCCAGACGTCTGGGTCCCCAAGGACTGAGGAGCGCAGCCCTGTGCTAGTTTACCCAGACTCCAGACGGGGAGCGGGTAACGGAGGGGGAGGCGGCTCGCTGCGCAGGCGCAAGGGGGTGCACGGGCGCGTGCGATGAAAGGGGGGGTGGGCGCGAGCGTGTGGGAGTGCACGTGCGGGTCCCGGGCAGCTACCTCCTCCCTTCCTCCACCTCTTCCCCTCCTCTCTCCCTTTTCCAGTCGCTCTATAATGCCCCTTCCCCATTGGCTGCCAGGGCCCTGATGTCAGGGACGTCCGGTGGAGCGGATTGGACAGAAGGGAGAGTTAGGGAATCTGGCTCCCGAGTCTCGCTCTCCAGTTACTCTGGCAACAGGGCAAGCAACCCCCGGGAGGGAAGGGGAGCCGAGGTGAGCGCCGCGCCTCGGTCCCGCCCCCCGCCGGCTAACCGCCGAGTCCTTTTCTGGTGCAGCGCAGCTCGCTGCTTCCCCTCCTACCTCCCAGGGTTTTCCTAGGCCCGGGAACCAGGGGGTCCTGCCCTCAACCTGCCCTACAGTCTCCAAGCCCCCCACTCTCTCTAACCCCCACCCATGTCACGGCCACAAGCCACAAAAGACAGGAAGCAAGTCTACGTTGCTTAGTAACCAACCCGCGTGCCCCCCTCCCCACTACTTACCCCAGCCTCCTTCCTATCCTATGCCCTTTGCCCTGCTGCCCGCAATTTCCTGTGAGGGGGCCCAGGTGACACGAAGTCAAATGAGGGCCTCAACCCACTTTCCCTCAGGCCGGGACGGGGTCTTCAGCTGCTCCCATGGTCACATCCCCCACTCGCACCGCCCTCAGCTCTAGGTGTGCGTCTCGCCCACGCCATCTCGTGGCTACACTGGGAAGGTTTCAGCATCGAGAAGCCATGCGAGGCGTTTCAGGGTTAGGGAACCCGAGACTGCAGAGTGGGGGCAGGACCAAGGATGAGTAAATTAGCGGGCGAGGCCGAGAGAGAGAGGTGCGGCGGGGTGGAGTGGGATGGGGGCGAAGGCTACCGCTAAGGAAGCTCTTGGGGCTCCTAGTGGGAAAGTCAGGCTGAGGCTATATACCTCCCCCGTGAAAAGAAGTGGAGGGAGACTTGAAATGGCCCCGAGACAGGAGACACCCCTAGTCTGACCACATCTGACCTTAATTGGCCATCGCATTGACCTATCTGCAAACTCTGCCCTTTAGTCTTGCCCTTCAGTTAGAACTGCTGCGCCCCGCCCTGATGTCAGGAAGGGGAATCCCAGCCCTGGGGGAACCGGGAGCCCTTTCAGGCCCTTCTTGACATCCGGAACCCAAGACATCTGCCTCCCAGTTCTTCCCCCACCCCCGCCCTGTTCTTTTGTAGGGGACCTGGATGTCCAGCGCCCCAGTCTTCTTCCCAGTGCCCTTTCCGAGACGCAAACGTCCATCCCCAGCTCTACCCCTCCTACGACTCAGGCGTCCCGCCTCACTACACAGAGATGGTTTCCCTCTTTACAGACGTCCTCGCGGCTCCCCGTTACCTGGTTGGGGGGGGTCCCAGATGCTCAGGCTCCCCAAGGTCTCCCAGAGGGTTGAGCGGCCCCCCCTCTCCCAGGCCAGGGCTGGGGGGGCCGCTCCGCCCAGTGGCGCAGTAGGATTTTCCAACACAAACACCCGCACCCCCGTTCCCCCAGCCCCGCCCCCTTCTCGTGGTCCCGCCCCTCTGTGCGCTGAAGTCTCTTTCCGCCCCGCCTTCTGCCGGTCCCGCTAGCCTCAGAGCCGGTGTTGGGTAGGATGCCGGGCGCGGGTGCGGGGTGCAGGGTGCAGTGTACGGGTTCAGCCCTCATCCCTGCCTGACCAAACCCCTATTCCATTTGGATCACGCGCCCTTCTAAAGCAAGCCCCGCCTCCCCCACTCAAGTCCTGCCCGGAGGTTTGGCCACACCCTCTTTAGGCCCCGGCGCCTTGCCCATTGGCTCAAGGCCACGCCTCCTTTCCTCTCGAGGCCACCCCTTTCCCTCGCTCCTTTCCCCGAGTCTTATAAGCTCAGTAAAAGATCCCGTACTCTGTAAAGCCCGGGATTCCTCCCTCCCCAAACCCCCACCGCTCCATTGAGACACTTAGGGCTTGTGGTCGGGAGTTTTACTGCTCTGAGCTCCAATACAACTCTTCCACCTTTATGGCTAGGACAACTAGGTGTCTCCAGGGCCCCATCACACGCCAACTTCAGCCATGGTCAGTCAAAGCCTGAGAGAAGTCCAGCCTCAATCCAGGTGCATTATCAGCCTCAGTTCCTAAAGTCCCCGAGCCTCTGTCAAGCGGAGAAAAAGGAGGCCTCCTCAGTTGTCCAAACTCATGAGTAGAGCAGTGCCTCTCTTGATCCAGTGGTCGGATGTCATGGCCCCAGATCGGAGGTCGATGCCGATGACAAAGGAGGCTCTGTCTGAGCTGCCTGCCCGGTCGGGATAGTAATAGCAGGGGCAGGAGTACATGCCTAGGGGAAAGGAGACAAGGAGTCACATCCCTCTGCGAAAGCAGAAAAGGAGCGAGTGTGGAGAGGGCTGGCGCAGAGGATGGGCTAGGATCCAGACTAGGGATGGGACAGGCAGGTCTGGGGGAGCTGACCCACCCTTAGCGCTCTTCTTGCGGCTCTCTGCAGGCCGGAAGTGGATCGTGGGCATGAGGCAGACAAGCTGCATGGGCTCTGCCTCCACCAAGCAGGAGTTCTTCCGGTCCCAGCCAGCACCCTCCAGGTACAGGCCCCGAACCCAGACACCATCCTGGGGAGAAATGGGGGCAGGTTTGGGGGAAGGCTAGACACTTAGTTGCCAGCACCCCAACCTGGCACCTCTCTTCTCCCTTCTCATCGGATTATTTCTTCTTTTGCATCCCAGCACCCTCTTTTGCTCAGAGCCCCAAGAACATCTGGCTCCCACCTTGGGTGGATACACTAGGTTGCTGTCATCCACAGTGGAAACGATAAACTCCCAGGAGAGGCTGTCCACTGAAATCTGGGGGTTGAAGGTAAGAGTAAGGGAGGGCCCCAAAGAGGAGAGCAAATACATGTCCTCAACATCCATCCCTGCTTCACATTTTCCACATTGCTCACATTGTTTTGGCGAGCTGAAGACTGCAGCACAGCAGTGAGGAAACCTGTAGGAAAGGTGAAACCAGACAGCCAGAAGATCACAGGTGGCCGGGCACGGCTGGCCCACAGCTCAAACTGCTCCACACGCATGGCCAAGTCCCGGGTCCATGCAGCCAGTGGCTTTTGTGAGGGATATGCCTGAGAGAGGAGACAATGAGTGTTTACTCATTCATTTCATCATATATTCAAATCCTTTATTTGAGCACCTAGAGCAGATATAAGAAAACTATGTGGTGTCAACCCCTGTTCCCCACCTATGGGTGGGCAAAGCTCTCCATAAGCCAACTCCCAGGAAAAAAGCATAAAATGGCACCTATTTATTAATAACAGTGGCAATAGTAATATTAACCATGTATCATTAATGAAGCACCTACTGAGTGTTGTGTACAGTACTGGGAATCCTTGAAACATTCTTGGAGAGATTAGTAACCTGCCCTGAATAAGTCTATAAGTTAGTAAGTTGTGCAGATTCAGACAGCCAGATTTCAAACTTGAACCCATCTGGCTTCAATGCCCAGGCTCCCTGTAGTCTGCTACATGCCTCCCTAGAAACAGGAGATTGGGGGACACAGGGGTGAGAAGAGAGCTCATAGTTGCAGTAGGATCAACAGTGGTGTAGTCTTGCCTTTCCCCACAGCGGAGGAACGTGGGCATCAAAGATGCAATTGAAAATCTCTTCCAGACTTGTAGACATGACGATGAGGCCCTGGATGCCTTTCTCCAGGTCTGTCAGTGATAACCTGAGCAGGTTTAGGTGGAGGGTTAGAGATGGTAGGCCTGGAAAAGTCATCCTGCCAAGGGGTGAAGGCCCTTCTCTGCCCCTCCCACATTCCACAGGGCCCCTGCATCTTACAGGATGGTCTGCATCAGCTTGTTATATCTCTGGATCTCCTGCAGAAGGACCACATTGAGGGGGGAGGGGTCGAGAGCCAACAGTTTTCGGGTCCCCTCATAGTCGATCATTTCAGGGATCTTCTGCTTCACATCTGCAGCCAACTCAAGGACCTGTGGAGATAAAAGCTATGAGTGTCACCCTCTCTTCCTCATCACTCCCCACCCCCACCCCCACTCCCACCCAGGTGTGTCTTTTCTTGCCTTCTCTTCCCGGGTCTGGCCTCCAGCCCTGATGGGTGTAATCTGGGGTTGCAGGGAAAGCAGAGTCTCAAAGAGAGTTCGTGCCTCTGTGATCTGGGAGGCCACATCGGCATTGGGGTGCTGGCCAAAGGCCTCAGGGGGGTCCATGCCAGGCAATAAGCTGATGTATTCCTTGTAAGAGGCCAGACCCCCATCCTTGGGGATAAAGTAAGTCTCTAATACGGACAACCTGGGGAGCCACAACATAATTATCACCATGTTGTGGGGTCTTGGGCTTCAATGCCCAGCCAAGACCCCAGTCTTTATGCACATCCCATTTGTCCAACTCCCTGCTCCCCCTCCCAGTCCCATAGACTATCTTCTCCCAATCTCATATTCTCTGCCTGTGTCTTCTGGCTCCCTGCTCAGTGCCACCTGCCCCTCACCGGTAGAAGGGAGTTGATAAAGACTGGTCACAGAAATAGTCATTGATGTATGTGATAAGCAGGCGCCGGTCCCAGTCATCTGTGACATGTCCACCATAGTTGACGCCAGCAATGAGGTACTTGAGTGCATCCCAGGGTGTTTCCTCGTACTCATCCAGATAGAGGCTCAGCAAGTTCTCTGACACCTGTGAATGGTCCCAACTCAAGTCCCCACCCCCACCCCCAACATAGTTATGGCAGGAACTCTTCCAGTGGAGCTTTAACACAGGCTTTCTGTGAGTAGATATTCCCACAGGGGAGCCAGGGGGCAGGAAGTATAAGGAGAGAGGGATGGAATGAGGATCCCTGGGTGGTACAAACCTCGAAGTCAGAGTCATTGAAGCCATAGATAATATTCCAACCAAGCTGCAGGAACTTTTTGCGTTCCAGTAATATAGAGTGGAAGAAGCAGAGTGCAAACAGCAGCTTCTTATATTTGGCAGGTTTGGAGCAGCGGGAAAACTGTGGTTCTGTCATCAGTTGGTAAAGACGCGTCATGTTGGCCTTTAGGCCCTAGGGACAATGAAGTACACAGTTGCCATGCAGCATACTCAGCCCTGCCTCTAGCGCCACCATGTACAGATGTGGAGACTGTTCACTGCACAAAGGCACTGGCAGAAGGGGTAAGTGGAAGCCAAAATCTAGCCCTTGATCTACATGCCAAGATGTGCACTCATTCACAAGGCTAGGTGCCTGATCTAGTTCAGACACACAGGCACTGTATGGGTTAGGGGCAGGCCTGCCTTCTTGTTAAGCCAGTCAAGTGTAGCAGTGGGGAGTTGTATACCAACTTTAGTGATGCTAATGTTAACAAGTTCTGATAACCCATGACCACTGGACCAGCCTGTCCTCCAACTTTTGATCCTCTCAGCCATGATGTTCTCAATGGGTAGGCCAACCCAATTGGGGAGTAGCAGAAAATGTGAACAAAGTATATACTTGCAACTATTAATTAACAAAAGTGTGCAGAATTATGTGCAAAAGTTCAGTGTCAATTAAAAAAGTCATAGTATATCATCAAGGAGGAACATTCTACATGATTGGCTTTATTGGGTTTCATGAACAAGTTGGAATTTGGACTAAGTCTTACAAATGGGAAGGATATGACTAGACTTGAGAGAAGGGTCTTGGTTTCCTGGAGCTGGAAGGATTTGAAGGAGTAAAGACACAATGGAGAAAATAAGTGAAAGGATGAGCCTGGCTGAAGTCAAGTGCAAGTCCTTAGGTGGGAAAAGAAGGTCCGTGTACAGACAGAGAGGCAATAAGAAGAGTAGTATTAATAGTTGGAGCCATTTGGACTTGATTCACTAGCATCATGGACATGGAGCCATGCTCTCTCTTGAGTGGACAGTAATATTTTGAAACAGTGTTTTGGGAAGACTTATCTGTGATCAACGGGATGGAGTACTGAAAAACTTGAAGTAAAAATATTGGATAGCAGTAGCAAAAATAAAATAATGCCATTTATAATATTAAAACATGTAAAGTATCTAAGAATAAATCTAAGATGCAGACATCTTTATGGGAAAATTACAAAACTTCATTGAAATAAAGAATAAATGGAGAGAGATGGATACACTCATGGATTGAGAGGTTTCTTGTCCTAAAGTTATCAATTTTCTCCAAACTGAATAATCCAATTTTTTTGTGAAACTTAACAAGCTAATTCTAAAATTCATGTTGGAGAATAAAAGCTCATCAAACCTCATAAAAATTAAGAATTTCTATTTACCAAAAAATAACAGAAAAGACAAACCACAAAACACATAACTGTCCCCCTACTTTTGACCCTCCCAAGTCATGATGTTGTCAATGTTCTCCAAATTGACAAAAGATTAGGATCTGGACTGTATGAAGAACTATGAAACATCAAAGCAGTATGAATGAATGTCAAGCACATAATGTTGAATGAAAAAAGCTCGTCGCAGAGAAATTTATTTAGCATGACTGCATTAGTGATACAAACTTTTATGTTAAAATTATAAGGAAAAGAGAATGACACATTCAGAATTCAGAATAGTGGCTTCCTCTGAGTAAGGAGGGAAGATGATGAGATTGGGAAGAAACACACGGGGACTTCAAAGACAATGCTAATCTTTCTTAAAAGGATAATAGGCACACAGGCATTCATTGAATCATGATCCTTCATATCTTGCATATACTTAATAAATATTCTTTCTTTTTTCATTTGTAGAGATTGGAGTCTTGCTATGTTGCCCAGGTTAGTCTCAAACTCCTGGCCTCACGTGATCCTCCTCCTGCCTCAGCTTCACAGAATGCTGAGATCACAGGTATGAGTCACTCTGCTCAGCCACTGCCTCCCACTTTTATCATGCAGTCCTAAATAGCACCTGCCTCCAAACTTACACACCTCCTCCCATCACAGGACGCTCAAGCAACAAAGAACCATCTAGCTGGCAGGGCACATACCTCTCTTAGACGTGAAAAAAAAAAGTTCTTTAAAAAAATGCAGAAAAAAAATTCCATTACACTGGTAACACATTTCTGAACTATTTGACATTTTAAAAAGGGGCATAAAAATAAAAGAAAATAAAAATCAACTTTAAACATATTTTAAAACAATCATATTGGTGCCATATTATCGCCATGAAGCTAGGCGATAACCTGCGGGGAGATAACCCGAGCGGCCGTGGTGAGAGGCGGGGTGGACGGTGCTGGCAGCCCAGCAGCAGTGCTTTGTGATCAAACGGCAATTCAGAGCTGGAACTGAGTTTGGTACTGGGGCCAGAGATGGGGCTTGGAGTTGAAATCGTGGAAAGGACAGTTTCCCGCAAACTTGTGAAAGGAGTAAATAGAGAATGAGAAAAGTTGGAGGTCGAGGACTAAGTCCTGAGATCTGGCCACAGACAAAGAGGAGAAGGAGACACAGACGTGATACAAGGCGTCAAAAGACAGAGGCAGAAACAGCGGTAATGTGTCAGGGAAGCCAGGGAGCGGGACACTCGGCTGACTGTGCCAACTGCCCCGAGGTAGTCAAAGAGGGTTAAGAATGAGGAAAGGCTCCCATTCATACACTCCAATGGTACTTATTTGCTGAGTACCTACTGTATACTGGCCCCTGTGTTTTTCACAGGGTGAGCAAAAAGGATTTTGATTTCGAGTAGGAGCAATGAAAGACTACTAAAATAATTTAAGTAGGGGTGAGTGGGTGAGGCACAGTGAAGTGGCGGATTTTAAAGGATCAGTATGATTGCATTCAATGATGAGCTTGTAATATTGGAGATAAAAAATTTCAGTAGAGTTGGAGGGGAGGAAGGAGAAAGAAGCTAAGAAGTGTGACATTAGGAAAAGAATGTAAGGGAAGGCTAGGAGGCAGGAAATTTCCTGGGTGTAAAAGAATGAGTTTGGAAACCTAACTACCCAAACTCTGACTCTGGAATACTTAATTACTTCCTGTGCCTCAGTTTCCTATCTGTAAGATGGGGTGTAATAGTATTCACCTGACAGGTGTGTATGTGGGTATAATTAAAACACACACACACACAAGGTCTCACCCTATTGCCCATGCTGAAGCACAGTGGTGTGATCATAGCTCACTGTAACCTCAGACTCCCTGAGCTCAAGCAATCTTCCTGCCTCAGCCTCTGAAGTAGCTGAGACTACAAGTGCATGCCACCATGCCTGGCTAATTTTTTAATTTTTTGTTGAGATGGGCTCTCACTATGTTGCCCAGGCTGGTCTTGAACTCCTAGGCTTAAGTGATCCTCCTGCCTCGGCCTCCCAAAGTGCTGGGATTACAGGTATGAGCCACTGGCCTGTGTGTGTGTGTATTAAATGAGTTAATACTTGTAAAGAACTTAGAACAGTGTCTGGCACATAGTAATCACTCAAGAAATCTTAGATGTGACTATTATGTTCTTGGAGTTTGGCATGAAGAGGAGAGAAATGAGGTGGAATTTTTCAGAGGGCAATAAAATCAAACAAAGTCATGTTACAGTTAAGGCTAAGGCCATGCTCTGGTGCTAGCAGGAGGAAAGGTAGAACAGATGGCTTGGAGTGATGCTGGCTCCCTATAGCAACATACCTTTGGTGGCTCTGTGGTCATCTTGATGCTGACCTGCAAGATCGAGATAGGGAATTCGGGGTGGGGGCTAGAGCTGAGCCAGAGGCGGAAGGAAGGGTGAGGATCTTCCACCTGCAGCTGCTCCACCAGCTTGTCCAGATTAGGCATCCAAGACAGTGACAGGTGGCAGTTTGCCAGGAACACCCAGTGTCCTACAAGGAGATGCTGGGTCAGTGGTGATCATTCCCCAAGCCCTACCTGTCCCCACACTTTCCACCTGGTGGGGGGGGGTCCAATACTCAGGTCTGCCACTCCTGGGGCCTTCTGGAGAAGTGGGAGGTGCAGTTCCCGTAGTGTGACGGGGTAGGAGGTTCTGGGGAGGGGGACCAAGGCTGAGGTAGGAGTGGAAAAAAAAGATGGATACCGACCCTGAAAAACACCATCTCGGAGGAGCCGAGCAGCGATGGGGGCCTGGCCCTGGCCCAGGGACAGGGCATGGAAGCGCTGGGCCATGCCTGTGTGCTCTGCCAGCTGGAGCAGGGCACTGGTGGGGTCCACGCCCGGGGACAGGATGAACACAAGTGGGGATCTCGGGGTTGAATCTTCCATCACCTGCCAGAAGCACCGGTGTGGCCTCAGGCAGAAGGCCACATAACCCATTGAGGAGACCAACACAGAGCGAGGAAGGCAGGAAGAACCCAGGGGTGGTGTGGGCAAGGAAGCCAAGCCACTGACCAACTTCATGTTTAGCACAGGTGGCTCAATGAAGCGGGAGCCAAGGTTGGTGACGATGAAAGAGGTGACGCAGAATGATACCCGGTCCTGGCGCAGGGAGCGAACGATCAGCATCCGTTGCATTTCATTGCAGGCATTTTCCCACTCACCTGGGGATATGAGTAATTGCAGGGAGAGAGTCTGGAAGAGCCGAGAATCTAAACACAGGGGCACCTGCCAGGAATGCCCCCTGGGCCAGGAGGCAGGTGCCAGCTGGGGGAGGGAATGAGGAGCACTGGCAGGGCAAACACTTGGGCTGGATGGAGGAAGGAGAGCAAGGGGGGCTCAGACGCCTGGGTACCTGGCAGCATCACCTTCTCTGGGGTAGGATTGGTATACCACAGGTGCCAGTCACGGGGATACTGCTCAAAGGAGTTCATGAGACCGTGGAAGTTGGTCAGTTTGTCTAGCTCTGTGATGTTATCCCAGTAGGCATCTGCGAGCCAACTGGTACATGGGTTATCCATTTGGCCCTCCCGGTCCAGGACCTAGTGGGGAAGGAGAGAGGAGAAACGGATTAACTAGGAACATCTCAAAAGAGTTTTCTTTCTTCCTCCTGCCCACCCTTTCTTCCTTTCTTCCTTCCTTCTTTTTTTAGAGTGAGAAACCAAGATGGGTCTTGCATGAAACAGAGTGAACACAGGAACCCGAGATGGTTTGGAATCCAACTTTCCAGGGGAGTAACGGGGGGTCTAGGGCTCAGACGCTCGGTGAGCGATCTCAGTTCAAATTTAGGAAGCTAGCGCCCTCTGGTGGTTGCATGGTAATAACGTCTCCAGCCTAATGACTTCAATTGGTAGCATCGCCTTTCTGGGAAGCACAAACCCTTGGTTCACTCATTCATTTATTCATTCTTTTTAACAAATTTTTATTGTTCACATCTATGCATTTTCAGCCTTTGAGACGCATTACTGAACAAAATGGACAAATATCTCTGCCCTAGAGGAGCTTATTTTCCAACATGGGATTATGAACCCATGGGCATATTATGAACCAAAAACCTAATAAATAAGTAAATTATTTAATGTGTTAAAGATGGAAGTGCCATGGAAGAATAGAGTAATTTGAGAAGGGCAAGGGAGATTGAGGGGGGATAGTTTGAAAGATGGAATATAAGTAGATTAAGAAGGTCTCACTGAGGTGATCTGCAAAGGAGGTTACACAGAGAACCAAGTGTCCACCCAGGGAATAGTTTTCCAGCATGAGGCACAGCCAGTGCAAAGGCCCTGGGGTGAGACATGCCAGAGTGTTTGAGGAGGGCAATGATGCCCGGGTAGCTGGAGTGGAGTGAAGGGCTGGGAAGTGGAAGACGACAGGATGGATGCCTGTCAAATGGGGTCTATTTTAAAAGGACCTCTCTGGTTGCTGTGTTGAGAGTTTGGGGTGGGGGACGTTGGAAGGCTATTGCCAAAATCCAGCTGAGAGGTCAAGTGAAGATGGCAAAAGGAAAGAACATGTTGTCCAGGAGGGTGGGAGAGTTACTGGCCCAGGGGAATGTAGCACAGTGAGATTTGTGATCATGGATTTAGAGGGAGTCTAGTCTGTGAGTCCAGTGAGTGTTTTTCTTCAGCCATGTCAGCTGCATGGGCCACACAGGGATGGGAAGAACAACTGGATCTAGCCAGAGTGGTAGTTTTCTTTTCTTTTCTTTTCTTTTCTTTTCTTTCTTTCTTTCTTTCTTTCTTTCTTTCTTTCTTTCTTTCTTTCTTTTTTGGGGGGGGTTTGTTTTTAGAGTCTCACTCTGTTACCCCAGTTAGAGTGCAGTAGCATCATCATAGCTCACTGCAACCTCAAACTCCTGGGCTCAAGAGATCCTCCTGCTTCAGCCTCCTGAGTAGCTGGGACCACAGGAGTGCTCCACCATGTCCAGCCAATTTTTCTATTTTTTGTAGAGTCGGGGCCTTGCTCTTACCCAAGCTGGAGAGATTAGTCATTTTCATGAGCAAATGCAACACAAAGTGGGAGGGGAAAGGGGGTCAAAGTGATTGAGGGAGAGATTGTGATGATGACTGTGGAACTCAGGCTGGGAAAGGGGTGGTTTGAGAGGCAATAAAAAGGTGGCGAGACCATGCCAATTGGTGGGTCACCAGTGAGAGATGCCTCAAAGTCCAGCCTGTACTGTGTGCAAGGGGGTGCATGGCAAGTCACCCCCCAGCCCCTGGGAGCTCATCATGCACCTGATGCTGCATGGTTCCTCTCGGCTCACTTGCTGAAGTCTTGGGCTTGACCCTGTGGGTCTGGAGTCCTCATCACACTTGCCTTCATCTCATCCCCAACCTGACTGCCCCAAACAGGCACGTGCCCTCTGCCCAACTCACCACACCCCCACGTAGAAAGAAGTTGTACTCATCCATGTTGAGCTTGCCAGAAGTCTCCAGGATTTTGGCACACATATGAAAACTGAAGAGTAGCTTGTGGCGCTCAAAAAGGGTGCGGCAGGTGTACCTGGGAGAAGGATATGGGGAGGATGGAGGAGGCAGAATGAAGTGGGGGCAGGATGCCGAGCACGAATGCTCCCTAAGTGGAGATCATGCGATCACAGAACCTTACAGAGAAGGACCTTACTCAGCCTCTAATCCAAACTCCTGGAAACAGACAAGGACTCAGGCCTAGAGAGAAGATGTGATTTTCGCAGAATTCAGTTGTCATTATTCAGTTCCATTAGAAAAACAAAACCTTGGTTATTCCCCTACTATCTTGCCAGCACCGTCTGGGTCCTGAAGACACAAAGATGAATGAGCCATGGCCTCTGGGAGGACTGACAGAGAGGCCAT